GTTGGGAGGGTGTTGCATCTCCACGTCCACCCTTAGGGGTTCTGCTAACCCCGCAGTGAACATATCTACTTGCTGATCTGGTCGTACCGAGGCTGCCCTGGCGAGAAGGGTTTGAAACTGGCGCTGGTATTCAGCCACGGTTCCAGTTTGCTTGAGGTTAATTAATTCGCCCAGCGGGTTGCTCGTCAACGGGGGTCCAAACCTGAGGAGACAGTAGGATTTAAACTGTCCCCAACTAAGCTTGGGTTCTTCCTGCTCCAGATGGTAGAACTAGAGTTGTGCCTCTTCCGTTAGGTGGAAAGCGGCCAGACTGACCTTGTCTCTATCATTCGTGCGCTGGTTATGAAAGAACTGTTCGCAGCGATATAACCATCCCAGTGGATCTCCGGTGCCGTTGTAAGACGGAAATTCTAGCCGGCTATACTTGGGAACAAACGCGGCTGCTGGGGCGGCGGTCTGTTGTTCGCCGGACGTCTCTGCCCAGTCTGGTCGGCGGCTGTTGGTGGTGGCGGTTCCCTCGGAGTTCCTTTCCTTGTTAGAGAAATACGATTCCAGCAAGCGTCGTAGCTTCTGGACATCGTCTTTGACCTCACGAACCTCCACGCTGGTTTCCACGAGCCTATGCTCCAGTTCGTGGACCCTAGATGATAGCTGCTCCAGATCTCCCATGATGGTAGGCTCTGATACCAAGATGTTATGGGCCCGGGCGTAGGATTGCGTCACGGGTCGGTCCACGGGGAGAACCTCTCGTTTCCCCTTGCTCCTTCCCTTACGTGCAGACCCTATCATGGCGACCTAGGGGGGTGATTTGTTCAAGAGATCACCCTAACTCTCCTTACTCCTTCCTTGATCGAAAATTTGATGATTTATTCTTTAATTCCAGCTCCTTAAATAGGAGATTACAAGAGGTAGGGATACTCCTTATTGGATTCGACTTCTTACAGATAAGACCCCTATCTTGAGAAGGATAAGACTCCCTAGATAAATCAAAGTCCTACTATAAGACTCCCTACTAAACCTTATTGGACTAGATAAATGAGAAAAACAATTAAGATAACTGTGAAAGATAAGATAAAGTAAGCTGCGGCCTAATCCTACGTGGACACCTTGTCACTACTGTTGCTGCTGCCTGCGGCGGTATTTCTTCCCAACGAATGCATCCACAACATTTTCTTATTGTTTTGGATCAATAACAAAGTAACTTTTATTAATCTAATATAATATTATACAAATTGATTTTACAAAAAGCAGCTCCCACTGAGCCAGCCCTTTCATGACATTAGGTAACCAGAGAAGCCCAAAAAAACTGCTCCCTAGAAACTACTTGCTTGGTAAGTGCACCTGCCAAACAATTAGCTGATCTACTAAGCTATCTGGAGAAGCCTCTCTTGCAAGCTGTCTAATCTCTCTCAGAACTTTGTCTGTAAATATAAATATCCCCTGGCTGTTGCTATTCATCCACCCTATCACCAACATCAATTCACTTTCAACCTTCAGTTGCCTGAGTTGTAGCTGCTTGGTTAATCTTAACCCATGTAGTAGTGCTGGGATTTCTGCTTTAAGTGAGTCTCCAAAACCTAAAAGAGAAGTAAAAAGAGCCATCGTTGTTCCATAGCCATCCCTAAAAACTCCCCCAATACCTGAAGCCTGAAGGTCCTGGATTCCCGTTTGAACAGCCATCAAAGTTTAATTTTATTCTGTTACCGCTTGAAGGAACCCATTACTGTTGTATGGTAACCTTCATTTAGAGGATGTTGCTACCACTTCCCAGTTTCTTCATGTCATCCACTATAAAACAATTAAAGATCTCCAAAGTCTTAACCCAATGGACTACCTTCTAAATTATACTTTCAATAATGGCATCCAATGTTATGATATGCCCCGCATCGGGCATATTTTGGGGGCTTTTAGGAGACTCTTGAACTCTACTTTGGAGGTGAAATTATTTTTTATTTGCTAAAAGAAACACTTAAAAAGTGTCAGGAAAGAGATTCTTATTTACCCATCTCAAAATAACGTTAACAATTGGTCTGATAGATGACTAAAATTTATTAAAAAGAAAAGAAGGGAAAAGCCATTTTCTCTCCCATATGTTCCTTATTTTGTCTGTGTTTGACAACTGATCATCGTTCTTTTGTTGTATTCACTTTTGTGGGGCAGGGGGCAATAAGACATTCAACTAATTTAGTGGTCTTGGAAGCTTACTTTTAAGTTGCTTCATTGTGTGATAGGGACTCTTAGTACTTTTTTTTGAAAGGTATATTATTTCATTAATGTGTAGAAAAGAGACCCATGTACAACAAGGGACTGTACATTGGGAATATACAATCAGAGCAATCAGTTAGCAGTGCTAAGCATTCTCTTTACAAAAAAAGTATCTCTGTCAAAAAAAGAACTATAAGGTATTCCAAGCCATGATTAAAAGGTGCCTGTCAGCCTGTTCATAACTTACTCTTCTGATTTGATCTGTCTTTCAAATGTTCTGTTGTTTCTTTCACTCCATGGAATTCAAATGATTGCACTATATATTCTCTGCAGTAATTTGCTCCTTTTACTTAGCCACTGAGGTATCATCCACTAAATAAAGCCAGTATGGAATCTGGGAAGCATCCAATCACCCCAGAACGATTTAAAGCAGCTAGCCATAAGGATCTGAAAATATGCAGTGCAGAAATAGATGATTTACTGGTTTGTTCTCTTCACAACAGGGCACACGGATGGGACTATTTAAGGGAATGCCACTTTTCAATAGATTAGTCCCTGCTTAAAATCTTTTCTACATTGGCAACATCTCTTCAAGTTCTTCCAAGCTTGATTAAAAAATCTATCAAAGTGGAATTATTTCAAGACCTTAGGTATCACATGTCAGACCTCAAAATTTAGTAAAGCTTCTCATCCTTTTTCTCTCAATTTTAGTGTCAACCAAGCTATTTTATGATCATTTAATCTTGAGAAACTGAAAGTTTTCTTAAAGCATTTAAGGATTACATTTCAAGGCAAATACCTGGTCATAGCCTCAGTGGCAGATGGCCTTGCTCAGGGGTGGGGTTGAGAGGAGTTAGTGGTTTGTCTCTTTTATTGACTGGTGATCTTTTGTTTAGTTGATGAGCTTCTGTTCTGACCTTATAGTGGTATTGTGTTTCTTTTCTCTGCGAATTAATGTACACCTCTTTTTTTTCTTAGTAATGATATGATACAAAAGGAATGGAACATGATTTATGTTGCCAACCCCATATAGTTTTTTAGATGAGTGTGCCAACCCCATATAGTTCTGGCAAGGCATAAATGATGATGATTAAACTTAATAACCTGGTCTCTACTAACTTCCGATGAAAGATAGCATTGTTTGTCTACTGGGCATGAGAAATTTTCAGGCTCTGCCTTTTCTTGCACAAGTGGAGGCACCCCCTAAATTTGATATTTGAGGGGTTAATACACCTATTCAATCAAGGTTGGACATGAACTTTGGTGCAAGGCTCCATTGTGGAGATTCCGTGGTCCAAAAATGCAATAACTGCACCTTTAAATCTGAGGGCAAAAGTTCTTGATATTATTTTTTACATGCTTCCAAGATGATGGCCGAATGTCTTTCATCTTCAAAGAATCTTCTTTAACACTAGGGTTATTAAGTTGCATAACACTTGCAGCGTCTGTCATGAAGTTTTTTTAATACTTATCAAAATATCATTCTTCACAATCTTTCAACATTCTTGATGAAATGCTAAGAAAAACTGTCAGGAGTGACCTAGGTCACATAATCATTAAGTATTCTCTTTACTCAATCAAAGTATCTGGTGTAATCGTGAATTTGTTTGTGGATGTTTGTAGGTTGTCAACTTGTCATTTTAAAACCTGATTTCCATGTCATATTAAGAATGTTTTCCCCCCCTCAGGGGGTGGGTGGTGGGTGGGTGGGGGTTATATTGCATAAGTCGATGCTATTGACTTCTACTTTTTAGATATTAGCCAACATTTGGTGATGGCCCATTTAGCCAATACTAAGACTTGACCTTTTCAAGAGATTTTTCACCCTTGCCTATGCAGGCAAACAAACCCTAATATAATGGATAATCCTACCATTAAAACAATTGATGAATATATGAGAGATCAAAACAGTACTAAGAAAGTTGGCATTTGAGACTTTCCAAACTTAAGAGTGCAATTTTGGCAGTTTTTTCAACTTTCTCAACAACTTATTTATTTTAAACATATTAGAACACATTTAGGACTTCAGGAAATTGGTATTCGTCCCATGCTGGACACAGTTACTGAAGTTTGAGGAATTATTGTATATGGATATGCAGATAAGCTTGTATCTCAGAAAGAGAAATGACATGTTCTTTGGTTTGCCTCTTTTCTTATCATGCCCCCTCTCAACCATGTGAACTATGTGGAGACGATAATCTTGCTAGAATTTTAAACATTTATTAATGCATCAGTGATGATCTATTTGTAAGCATATTTGGGGTTCCATAGAAAACAATATTTGACTGCAAATGATTGAGAAAACATTGTATTTTGTGTGGATGTCTGGAAAGGTGCAGCTACAGTTTCAGTGGTACCTCTCTTTGGTTCATGGACCATGTTTCTTAACTAAAGAAGAATATATTTGTTCCAGTGCTGTGTATTCTTTTTGTTAATTTCTATACTTATCCAAGAGGAGCAGCGGAAAAAGAGCAAAAATGATGTTTGTGATTCTTGTTTCTTTTTACTGCTTTCTATCAGGTGTTTTCTGTCTTCTTCATATCCAGTGGTTATTATTTGTGATTTTGTTACCTAAAGCTACTCCTGAACTTGGGAGGGGATGGTGAGCCTAATGAGACACAATGGAGGGTAGCCCATCCCCCATACCAACTGGGCCATCATTAGTTGTTGGTATGAAGTGAATATGATTGAAAACATAGAACAGGAAGAAGGGCAACAATTCTTCTTCCCTCTTTATCCATGAAAATTTCTGTAATTTTAATAGAAAGAAAAGCTTATTTGTTCATTGTTTTCAGAGATTTGGGATGCACTTCGAGCAGCTGCAGAAGCTGATTTGACCCTTGCACAAGCAATTGTGGACAGTGCAGGTGTCATTGTTACAAGTGCGGACTTGACAACCTGCTATGACGAAAGAGGTGCTTTGTTTATTTTGTTAACTGTAGATTCTTATTTCTCTGTGCCCTTAAGTTTTTTTTGGGATTTGTTTCTTACGGAACTTCCCTTGCAGGTGCTAAATATGAATTGCCCAAGTATGTTTTGAGTGAGCCAACCAATTTGATTCGCAACAGTTGACAACAGAGAGTTAGGCTGATCACCATGCTTCAATAAAATTGAATGTAAATCATGTAAATTACTCATTCTCTTTTGGGAAGTTTGGTGGCATACTGGCATATAGTAAACTTGTCACAAAGCACATATGGGAAGTACCTGCAGTTTAACTCGGTGAACAAGAAAATATCTGTTTGACTCTTCTGAACTGTTCGACTCAGTTTTTCAATGAATATGCATACATTTTGTTTCGAATTAATCAAATTTTGAGCTGTTATCATTGTTATCATGAGATTTCTTGAGTGAATTGTCTATTCTTTTGGTGATTAGGTTCTCTGAACACCTATCTATCATCTAGAAACAGCAAATATGAAAATGGTCAAGTCAAGGAGGTCTGACCTACCATTGTAGGGTGCACTTGGAAAGGTTTTACTCCAAAAATCCAGCATGATCGGATGACGTTCAACACTCTGATTTATGCATTTACTCAGCTTTGCAAGAATCCTATTACGATTTTCTACGTCGCCCGAGTATGATGTACATACAGAACCCTCAGTAGGAACTGAGTGAATAAAGGTTTGATCATAAAAAATTATCAAAAAAAAAAAAGGTTTGATCAACAAAGTGGGACAAATGCAAATTACTTTTTACAAAACCTAAAATTGTTCATGGGCTGGGCCAAAATAAGCCGAGCCTCAAGTAGTAGTGTAAAATGTTCATGGCCCAGGCCTGTGAATAGGTTTAAACAAAACCTCCTGACGGGGGGGGGGGGGGGGGGGGTGTTGTCCTTTGAGTTGGAGGTATTATCTAAAAGGCAAGGGGAAGTGTAAATCATTGTCAAAGGAAGCGTTGCTCGTACTCCAAGGTGCAATACAAGCCCAACCCAAATTCCTGAAATCCAATCTAAGGTTCATTTCTTTATTGATTGAAAAGTAACCACAAGATCTAAACATTAAAAAAAATCGAAGCAGTATTAAGTGTTCTTTAACCCAATAAGGGCTGGCTCGTTGGTGTGATAGCTGGTTTGAAAACCCAATAATCTGTATTCTCTTTCTCTGTCTCTCTCAAAAATATAGTGGCTGAGAAATTGACCCGATCCGGGTCCGGATAAGGATTAATAATTCGATGGATGGGTTATGTTAATGGATGGATGAGTGGGTGGGTCACATGCTGTCACTAATCCATACTCCATACTATAGGTTGGACGAAAAGCAAGCATTACGTGCATCAATGGCTGAACTGAAACAGAAAGTTGGGTCACATCCGCATCCTCCTCAGTGCATAGATCATGAGATCTGATCGTGCTGGAAGCTGGATCATGCGAAGCTCTTTAATATGGTGGGTGGTTGTATCACGGGATTACAAACTAAGCCTGTGACCTACGGTTCGTATTTCATTGTCGGACTCTAAACACATACAACCGTTCAACCCATTGCATCATCTCCGAGTTTGGATTTTCTCCTCCCATTTTTATCGTTAAATTGCTGAAATCTCTGTTGAAATCACCTCCCTGGAACTTTATGAAAAAGAAAAGAGTTTAAAAGTTATAGCTTTACCTCTGGGCAATTGATATAAAGGGTAAACTAAAAAAAATCAATTTAGTAAAACAGATTAGAAGGGTTAAATTTGGAAAATAAATATTTTGGTCAAAAGTACTGTATGAGTATTTTAGACAATTTTATGCCTCTTGTTAGAGAATTCTAACCAAGGAGTCTATTTGCAACTGTGTTAGGAAGGTGATTGCAATTATCAAATTTTAGAGAAGGTTTCGACAATGATCAAAAATTTCAGGGGAGAATTCAACAATTTGGTATTTGGTGATATGCTCGAACTCCCCATAAGGGCCATTTGAGTGTTGCAGCACCACACTTGTAACTAAGGTTCAAAGTATTGATTCACCCCAATATGGCGCAAACGGTGTATAAGTGCTTTGAACCATGCACCTATATAATTTTTTTATGATTTTTTTTTTCAAAAATAGGCTAGGAGATATGCTTTAAGCCTGTCTACCCCGTGAAATAGGCCAAACCCCCAAAGCTCCATTATTTACTGTATCGGTGGCCCACTGGCCCATTGATATGATACGTATAAGCTGATACATGATGGAATTTTGAACCTTGTAACCCCTCTCCAAATTTGGTGGTAGTGGGATTTGAGCCCCCATCTCTGATGGAGCAAACAGGCTAACATACCAATTGAACCACCTCTTACTTGGCTTCTCTTCACAAAATTGGCCCTTACACTCACCTTACAACACCTGTATTTGTGCATTAGGAACATGCCAATGCTTGTATGTTTTAATTCATGGGAAGATGTTATCAAGTGTTGTGCCAGGACCAAATTTGTGAGGAAGAAATCTGGATTTTATCTTTTATTTTTTGGACTTTACAAATATTTAGGATCCATTTGGTTTGTGGGAATAGGCTTAGAATTGAGAAATTGGATTTGGTCCTCACAAAATTGTGCCCATACTGTTTTTACACCCTTTTTCAGTCGTGCATTGAGAACACCTCCCCATAAATAAAAATATACAAGTATGGAGATGTTCCCAATGCATGACTGAAAAGGATTGTGAGAACTGTGTGAGCACAATTTTGTGAGGACTGAATCCACCCTCTAGAATTGAAATCAGATCCCAACCATTTTGGTTGGGTAGAATTGAAATTAGATTCTCATTCGAGTTCGGCTTCGATCAGTGCAATGACCATTCGAACAACTTTTACAGCCTTGCATCGGTAATATCTCCTTATGTATGTTCTTTAATTCATGTGGATATTCTCAAGGTTGCAAAGAGGCTGTTCGAACGGTGTGAGCATGGACTTGCACTAACTAAAGCCATTTTTTTCTCATTCTTGGTGAAATGGCATTTCCCCATTTGATGAAATGTCCATTCCCTCCCCCTCTCTTGAGAATAAAAAATTGATTAAGAATGATTATGTTTCCAATTCTGATTTTCATATGAATCAAACAAGTAGAGAGAATAGACCATTCTGATTCAGATTCTAATTATGAACCAAACGAATCCTTAGGTGGCATTTGGTAATGTGTTCATCTCGTAGATGGACCATTTTGGTCCACGCTATGGGATGAACTCCCCGTTTGGTTGGTTGTGGATGGGACCATTCCACACTATATCGTGGACCGGCCCTGTCCACACCCCAAATTATCGTCAATAGCATTTTCTCATGGATGAGGTTGGTCCATGGTTCATTTTTGATACCCTGCTTCACAGCATCCTCCAAACCTTATACATCATTTTACCATTGAAGGTCCACCACCAAATATCTTTGCCACTATACTCCGTCGGTATGTCATTAGATTTGTTAGAAACAAATTTGTTAGTTTGTATAAATAGTTTGGTGCTATGCTTATCTTGCAATAATTTGTTATTTCATTTATTTAAATATTATTTTTATCAATAAAATAATAATTTTTTATTTTTTTAAATTATTTTATTGCCATTTTTGTTGAAATTAATATTTTTTAGTTAATATTCAATTGTCAAAGCCTTTTTTCAATTTATTTATTATATAAATTATACAAATTAGGCATTTATGATTGACTGTTTAGATTGGTTCATAAACTATATATGAAATATGTGAAATCAAAAAGTGTGGTGTAGACCAATCCATACCACACCTAAGAAAACCATTATAGGTGTAGACTAGGGTGGTGTTCGGCACCGCATATATCTCGTGCTCGTCCATGGGATTTGGTCCCGTTTAGATGGGTGTGGACGGGACCGGTCCACACCACACCCCAATATAGTGTGGATAGGTCCCGTCCACACCCCAATATATCATTAATGGGAAAAACTCGTTGATATGCGTCCACAGATATTTTTGATCCCATGCTTCAAGGAGCGTGGGTTAGAGGCTGTGTGATCTAAGATAGAGTGCAAATACACAGAGATACACCTTCAATTTTATCTTTGAAATTCTTGTAGTTGCATTTCAGCTGTATGATCTAAGACAGACTGCAGAGACATAGAGATACACCTTCAGTTTTATCTCTAAAATTCCTGCAGTTGTATTTTGACTGTATGATTTAAAATATTAATTATTTTACTTATTTTTTTTAATGTTTTTATCAATAAAATAACATTTTTAAATATTTAAAATATATTTTTTTAAATTTTTAACTATTTTACTATTGTTTTATAAAAAAATTAATATTTATTACAAGGTTTTTAAAACCAACTCGGAGTGCAAATAGGTTAGGTGTCCGGTTCCCGGGTCGAACGGCCTGACTGTTCGAACTGAATGATCGGCCCATTTTGACAAAAAAATAAAAAATGGTCAAAACCGTTGAACGGTACAACTGCCTAGGTCAACAGTTTGCTAACCAAATCAATGTTTTTTTTTTTTTTTTTTTTTGCAAATTTCCGGTTTTGGAGAAAAACGGAACCGATGACCAGTTTCCGGTTTTTTGGGTCCGACCATCCAATCTGGTCCGGTTTTGAAAACTATGATTTATTGGTTTATATTAATTCATTGATGCATTTTTTAAAAATATTTATCATATAAAATGTAAAAATTAGATATTTTATAATTAACTGTATATATCATTCATAAAATGTATATGAGATACATAGAATCAAAAAGTGTGGTGTGAACTTGATCCACACCATGTTACAGAATCCACTATAGGTGTGGATTGGTCCATTCCACACAGTTTATCTACAGTTCAGAACAATTGTGAATTGTGATATGGTGCGGATTAATTCCTACCACAAAGTTGGTATAGACCAATCCACATCCATCAATTTCTTGTCCACAATACAAAATACCCCCTAGACCAATTCATACAATCTGCGGATGAGATTCGATAATTAAGTTTTTTTTTCTGATAATATTTGGTGAAAGCTGACGTGTTCAAAGAAAAGAACAGTTAGGATTTCTTGCATATGATGGAGATTCTTTAATAGCGTAGACGATGGTGTCAGCGTCCTGCGGCTTCGTGGGTCGGCAACCGTAACGTAGACAGCTGTCATGTGACAGGGAGCCGTTGCTCAGTCCAACGGTCTACTACCATTTCTCTCTTCGCCCTTGGTCATCTCACCAATTCCCCATCTCCTCCCAACACAACACGTTTCAAGTTTCAACGCCCTTCGAATGGGTCCCAATTTTAATTGCGGGTCTCAATTTTATGGTGAGATGCGCGGTGTCACATCGTATTGGAAAGGTGTTTTGTTGGGAGGAGATCCCAACATCTCACAATCTCGCCAGTCTGCCGGTGAAGAAAGCGGTGGTAGAGAGCAGAGCACCAATCCATGTGTAATGTTATAGA